ATATTAGAGAAGTTTTAAGATTGTCAGGTGTCAGGAACTTCTTCAAAATTCATAATCTGAAGGCAAAAGCATACAGGAGGAATATGTAGGAGTTTCTTGCTTAACTGCTTTTACTTGATGTGTAATGTCTTGCTGTTAAATTCCTTCTGTAAAGTCGGGCCATAGTGAGAGCTTCAGGGCATTCTTAAGCTTCCCTTGCATTAGTTTTTGTAACACATTCACTTGATTTGTTGTTAACCTGTCGTGTATAGTGCACTAGTTCATTTGTAGTTTCAAATATTAGTATAGGGAAAATGTTTAGGATTTTGTCCTCATACGTGAAGTTAAATACTTCAGTTATTGATGAAAACTTGCTAATAAATGACGTTTATACAGGGTGGGCTTGGTGGAATCAAAAATCCGTATTCTAGTTGGAAACCTGGAGAAGAATGAATTCATTACACTGGCTCATGTGAATCCACAGTCATTCCCAGCACCCAAGGAAAATCCTGACAAGTAAGCAAAACTGTTTTTTCATGTAATAGTAAGGAACTAACTTGGCTAAAATGCCAATTCATTAATAAACTAGCATTTTTATAAACTCTTAAATGGATTAATGTGACAGCTTCTAAAGGCTGAATGATTTAAATAAAAAAATAATTCGTCATTAAAAATATAATTTTAAGCTTTTCTCAAGTACTATGTGTAAAAATCTGATATTCTATATAAGAAAATTTCTAAATCAAAAAGGAAAAATTTTTTTTGTTAGTAACTGTATTAATTGCATAATTTCTTGCTTATAGTCTGTTGGCTACTGCTGTTTAGCTGCTGTTTGAGCATCTAGCATCAGTTGGTAAGAGAGTTTTAATTGAGGCCGCACTGAGAATCAGGTAGAATATCAGGCACAGTGGAACAGAAGTCTTGAGTAACTAGGTACATTTGATGTTGGTAAATTTAGCAGTTGAGATGAATATCATTTAATCTTGGTAATGCCTTATGTTAGAATTGCTCAGGATGTGGAAACAGTGGAGAGAATACCAAGCACTTCAAATTGTTTAAGATTTAAATCTGTTTTTCAACTCCTTCCCCTCTCAAAACAACGATTGCAGGTGTGTGGGTGAAAACTTTCCAAGACTTTATTACTAGATTGTGCTGTAATTAACTTGTAAGGGATCATATTTTTGTGGGAAGTATGTGAATGGGAAAGAAATGTTTGTTTTCAGTGAAACATGTAAAAACCTTTGTTACCTTCCATACAACCTTGTCCAGACGTTAGCTGCTTCAAGTGACAGTATGGTGCTACTTTTTTTTTAAACTGAAATATTAAATTACATGCATGTTCTGAGTGGAATTGGACAATAGCAAGCAGTACATGTTCAGCATCATTTTAGTGGATAAATAGAGCTACAACTGCCTGTATAGTGATAGGCTCTGGTTAGCTCTTTCATCAGAGAGCTTGATGTGGGCAATGGTTTTAAGAAAGGTAATTTTTCCAATATAAGTTATGTATATTCTTCACCTGCTTGCCTAAATATGTTCATTGATTGACTGAAAACTGATCATCTTTAGAAGTAACCTTCAGGGTAAAAAACATTTTAATTAAAACATTAAATATCTTTAGCTGGTGTAGAAATGTTACACTATATTCTGTAGTAGAATATAATAGTTCATCTTCCATGTATATTAGGTGAAGAGCTGTCAAAGGGAGGCTCTTATTTCTTGAGAATTGTGCTTTATGGTTAGTTACAGCTAAGAAATTTGGGAGTTGGACACATGTTTATGTGGCAAAATAAAGTTGTTTACTTAGGGAATAGATTCTAACTACTTCCAGCATTAGGTGCTGAAAACATAATCTCCTTTCAAATCTATTTGCTTTACAGTTGCAGTGGCTAATTCTAACACCTAAAAGTAAGAGAGTCTATAGAGAAGCACAGTTGAATAAAGTAGTCTACTGATGAACTTAGTTCATTAAGTTTGCTGGAGAAAACTACCTCAGGGTTTCATGATTTTTTTTTGTATTGCAAATGAAAAGGGAATGTCCTTAAGTCAGTTTATGAAAACGCTGCTAACTCAGACAGCAGTTAATTAGAAGAGCTTTAGCTAAAAAGTAAAATCATTGAGCAGAACCAGCTCTATTTACCTCAAACCAGGACAGTTACACATTTTAACTCCAGAAGCAACAGGGAGCTTGCCACAGAAAGGCAAAAAAAACTATCTGGCTTTAGCAGTGATAAGACCTCATGTTTAGAGTTACTGACAGGGATTGGTATGTGGACCAAGGCCACTGCTGAGCTTGTATCCCACACAGAGGAGGGCAGAGAGCACCCTGCACCTGCAGGGAGGAGCAGGCAGGATAACTGACCTGGGGTGTCTATGGCAGCAGGTAACATTATTTAGTTCTTCTGACGGTATTATGTGACTGTTTTATGTAAAAATTTCCCAGGGAAGAATACCGTACAATGTGGGTCATCGGGTTGGTGTTTAAGAAGACTGAAAATTCTGAAAACCTAAGTGTTGATCTTACCTACGACATTCAATCTTTTACAGACACAGGTGAGTTTTTTTTTTTCTTTCTAGATATCCTGGTATTAATAAACTTGTTGGAAGTTGTCTTTGTTAATAAGGTAGTCTGTTTCAATAGGAGAATTGTCTAAGCATTCAGCTAAGGAATCAGGGTGTTATTTAATGAAATACAGTTTTAATGAGTTTTAATGCTTCTTCTAGACACTTCAGACTAGTCATTTTCAGTTTTTCAGTAAAATTGATCCAAATGCTTCACACAAAACTTACAGATCTTACTAAAAACTATACATTATATAGTGATCTTTATTAATATAGTCAAATTGTTTATCATATGCAAACTACCTAGTCTAACCTCACTTTGACAACATGTATAGTTTAAAAGTTGTGGTTTTTTTCTTTTTTTTTAACTTGGTGAAACTGAATTTATCAGTAGATTAAAGCTGAGTGTCTAGTAGACTCAAATAAAATGCTTTTTATTCCATGGCATTTCATACTAGCTAGTTGGTTCAGTAATTTTTACTTTCCTGTCCAACACTCAGTGCAAGAAAACTTTTTTGACTTGTTCCAGTGTTTACTTTTTGATTCATGAAAATAACTTAGCACTTTGCTTAAAAATTTCTTATGCTCGAATTGGTAACAGCTGGAAAGTCTTAAGACTAAGAAAGGAACAGTACCTTTGACAGGCTTATCTAATAAATTTGCAGTATCTGTTTTTTTAAAAAACAATTGACAGTTATGACTCAAGTATTTTATATTAAGAGTTAAATAAGTTCAGGTGTTATTTAATGCAGCTGTGGTCTCTGGATTTATAAGACTCAAGAGTGGAAGTGAGCAAAACTGTACACACATCCCACCCCTACTATTCCCCCCATTCTGGGTTTATGAGTGAATATAATAAACTATAAATACCTATTTTTTTAGTAAAATCATACTAAAGTTTGGAAGTTCTTTATTGTCATATATAGCTGCAGTAAGGGGATGTTGAGTGTGTGTGTGTATATGCCTTTTTCAGTCAAAGGGTTTTTTTATTTGGAGAGACTGAATCTTCCTTTTGGTTATAAGTAGTGAAAGTGAAACTAGACACATCATCCTAATGTCTGAGAATTTAGGAAAGGCAGAATAGCTTGGCTTATGCTTTGAAGGAGTGAAGGAATCTGAATTACAGTTTCTCAGGCCTGTTATTGTTCATAAACAGGTTGTGTACTTGTCAGATATTTGGTATGAAAATACTAAAATTTGCGCTTAAGATTTTTGAATCTGATTTACTGCATTCAAAGTTGAAATGTATCTAAACATTTGCAATTTTAAATGAAATAGTATTTCATCAGTGTCATTGCAGCCCAATGGATCGTTTTCTGTTCAATTTGTAAATACGATTCAAAGGTAACCAAGTAGCAGTTCTGTTTTTTGTTGCTTTTAATCCATCCTGAAAGCTTCTGTTTGCCCAGTGTTTTGGAGTAAACCCTAAGATATTATCAAAATGACTGAAGTATTTTGAAGAATGAAATTAGGGAATAGTTTGCTTTTTAGTGGGAGCAGGGAGAGGAAGAGAGCAGTGAAAAGTGGGCTAGGGTTTCCTTGTATTGAAACTTTGATAAGACCTGATGTCAGGAATGTGGGATGCTTTAACCTTGTCTGGTTTTCCTGAGCATGCCCCTATCTTAACTGTAACTTGTATAATCATTACTCCGATGCTTTATGAGCTTCTTCGGTACTAAAAAGTAGTGTGGCAGGCTCTTTAGTATGCAATATTCATTGAGCTCTTTTGAGTTTCTTGTCTCTTAACAGCTTTTTAATTGGACATTTAGAGCCTATTCAATGAGATTCCCGTAAGATTTGTAGAATGGACAATGAATAAGGGAGACACTTGTGAAGTTTTTCTGTTTAAGATCTTGAGAATGGGTTGTTTTTTTTTTTTTTGACTCATTTTCCACGGGTTTGTTCAACATTATGTAGAAAGTCAGTGTGAAAGAACAATAAATTTTTCACTTTTACCTGGCTTTACTTGAAGCCAAGATGTTGGGTTGAAACTTACCTGAAGTAAGTGTTCTGAGGTGAAGAGAAAATAGTAGGCATAATTTTAGACACCACAAAAATTAGTGGCATCTGAGTTGCCAGAATAATTTGTAATATATTAGCTGGCACATAAGCATGCTACTCCTGAATTAGAACCCGTTTGTTGTAGGAGCTGTATAAATAAAAGCTGAATAATAAACTGTGAAGAAAATAGTTTTATGTAAATACTGTAATTCTTATGAGGAAATCTTATTTTTATTTTTAGTTCCTTTGAGTTGAACTTAATTCACTGCAGAGTTGTTACTGTTAAGACCTGCTAACAGTATAGTTGAGAACTGCGTGCTTGCAAGGTAGTTTTCTTGGAAAATGGCTCACCTGTTTCCAGAGTACCCTTGTAGTGTTTGTACTGTCAGTGCTGGCTTAGCAGGCAGACCACTTTCTTCCTCATGAACAAGGAGACCCTATGCTTGTTCTTGAGGGTACTAGATGTTCTGAAATGCAAACTGTGCCTGTACAGGTAATTGTGTTTGTGCCTGGGCAGGTAAGTGGACTTTGTGCCACATGCTTTGATGTGTCTTAATGTTATTCGAATTGTGTAGTTTATAGGCAAGCAATAAACAGCAAGATGTTTGAGATGGATATGAAGATTGCTGCAAGGCATGTGAAGCGTAAGCAACTTCACCAACTGCTACCTAATCACGTGCTTCAGAAAAAGAAAAAGGTAAACCTGACTAATATTTGAGAGCAATAAAAATGCCATTGAGAAATGGTTCCTCAGCTTTTTATATTTACTAATCGAAGAACTAAAATCATATTCTGAAAGCTTAGTTTTATCTGTATAGGTGGTGTGGTCTCACCTGCCTGTGGCAGTGTTACTAGATGCACTAAATATAGTATTAGATTTCCCAGAACATCAACAATGTGGGTAATATCTTCAGATTTGACTGAAATACCATATTTTGTTTGCTTTGGTTGCCTGCCTAGATTAAACAGATTTTAAACAGTGTAGTAAGTTTTTAAAGCTTTCTTGCTATTTTAACATGCAGGTCACCTAAATGAAGCATCTGTAACCTACAGAACAATCAGTCAAGCAATTGTTACTATCTCTAGTTTCTCTAAAGTTGTTGTTACTTAGGTTTTCCTCTAAGTCTTCACAATGTAAAATTGTGACTCGTTAGATGGATCTTATTGGTGCCTTTTTGTATCTAAGTTGGTAGTCTGGTGCTGTAACTGAGATGGAATACTTTGAGGATGATTTGAAGGAAAATACTACTCAACCTGCAACTTGGCAGCTTTTGGTATTGTATGCTGTTTTAGTTAAGAGGAAAAGATTTACATGACAGTTTTTACATCAGAAAGTTGCCCACTGCCTAGCCAGGGCTATTCTCTCTGTGTACAGTTTGCCTGTGTGGTTATACATAAGAATGGTAGCAAGATTTCTAATTAAGCTGTTGTGTTGGATGTGGTTTACTTTTAGTGAAGGCAGGAAGGAGGAGGTGGAACATTGAATTTAACAGTTTAGTCTGTATTTCAAAATCCCTGTTTCTGTGTGTTAGCTTAATCTGAGAGCAATACAGGTTTGCTTGTTTTCGTGAACAGCTAAATCACTTACATACACTGTTTTAGGCATGTTTACGAAATACGATTTTTTACTATAGCTATTTCACCTTAACTGCTTCTTTAAAGAATATGAATTCTTGTATTGAAATCAAATGTAAATCTGTTTGTCATGTTCTAGAGGACAATGTAAATATTAAGTGGTATTATGTCAGAGGAGGGTTTTTCTTATCCATGGACTGTTTAAGTTCAAATCAGTCTTTAAATTCTTTGTGTGAATTGTTATTTTGGTGTACATCAGTATTACTCTGAAATTTATGACTGCAGTACCTATAAGTTCACAAAACCAAAGAAACTTGAAATAAAGCTGAAAACATGATCAGCAAATACAGTAACTATTTATCTTATGTTTTTAGACATTGTTGGTTCAGACAAATCTGTACCAGAATTGTGAACATGAAAACTAAATGCTTGTAGTGAAAGGATAGCAGATTTACATGTAAAACAATCTGAAAATTCTCCACTTGTTTTGCATTTTTTAATGCTTCAACTTTCAGTTTTGTTTTTTTTTTTTTCTACAAATTACTCACATTTAACTGCACTTAAGGCACATACATGCTTAGTTTATGGTGGGTTTTCCTCACAAATATAACAGCTAAAATTTTGCATAACTGCAATATTACCCTATTTCAATTTTATCAATCTTTAAGCCCTTAAATATGGTTTTCTTTTGTCTTGTAGCATTCGACAGAGGGAATCAGGCTGACGGCTCTGAACGACAGCAGCCTAGACTTGTCTATGGACAGTGATAACAGCACGTCTGTGCCTTCGCCTACCAGTGCTATGAAGACGAGTCCATTGAACAGTTCTGGAAGTTCTCAGGGGTAATGAATACTTTCAGTCTTGTTGCTGCTCTTGGTTCCCAAATTACTTGTATTAAAAGCGTAGCAAACGTTGCATACAGTTCTCAAGGTGTGAATGTTCCAAGCTGGAGCTTGCATATGGTTTTACTTCCAGTTTGAGCTTTAGCGCAGGGCTAAATTTAGGAGATAGGGAGCACAGCATTTGACTTCAGAAAAGGAATTTTTAAGTTGGGTAAAGAAGCTTTTAGAAGAACAAGGTGATAAAAAAAATACAGGGGCACTGCAATAGGAAGCTCTGAGAGGCAGGTAGTGAGTAGGAAATTGGGTTGTGGCAGTGAGGAAGAGTTGTGTGCATTCTGGATCAAAATGCAAGAGGGCAGAGCAGTTGAGGCTTTCTGTCTGGGAACTCAGTAATGCTGTTGCTATTACTGATAATACCTATGCAAATCAATTGTGGGAACATAATTTTCCATTGTATTTTCAAAGTGTACGTTGTTTATCTTAATCCTAACTTTCTGTATTAAGCCTTTTCCTATCTAAACTTCAGTTTGCTCATGTAAATGGTATTCTACTGTCCTTTCAAGAGTCTTCTGTTTGTATGTTTGATGCACTAGAGAAGTTAACATCATCTGCAATTGTGCAGTATTAGAAGTATATTATACGATGTAACTTTTGACAAGGGGTCTTTTAGTTAATCTTCCATGGTAAAGAGAAATCATCCAATAGTTGATGTTATTGACTGTACTGTTAAAACGGGTCTATGATATCTAGAATGTCACACCTGAAGTGGAAATTGCCCCATGTTGATTTTAGACATGTAGTACTGCTCTATTTCTTGGGAGGGGGCGGGGGAGGGAGAGATGGGAGGGGTCGGAATTGTCATGTGCAATCCCGGGCCTTTGCTTGGGAAGTCCAGACTGAAATCATAGTTGTGATGACATGTGTAGATTAAAAGCAGACTTTGTATTCTGGTCCTTCTACACTGGTTTTGTTTCATCCTTCAGGAAAATAGTTGCTGCATTTACCCCTGCACCCTTATTTGGGCAGACATTGCCTTAACTTTTATCTTTTTTTAATGTAACTTCTTATTGATCTAAAAAACTGCCTCTGAAGTGGTTCAAACTAAATGTTTGAAATCGCTTCCATTGCTCAAGTTTGACAGTAGATTGCCAATGCTCGTTTCTTTCTTCCTACTGTGGCATGGTATCATTATAAGTACTGTTCTGTAATGTAGGTAAAATCCCATCAGCCATGGATACCGTGCATGCATGTGATGGGATGAAAGGTGGATCCTATAGCACCATAGATTTACTAATGTTCAGCGTTGTCATTTTTCTCTGTTCAGCAGAAGCAGTCCTGCGCCAGCTGTAACAGCAGCATCTGTGACCAACATACAGGCTTCTGAAGTCACTGTGCCACAAATAAATTCCAGTGAAAGCTCAGGGGGTAAGGAAAATTGCATAGTAGATTTTTTTTTCTACTGATTCTTTGGATTTTTTTGGTAATGTTTATAAAGTCGTTTTTCTTCCAGTCTGAGGTCTTTACTTAACACATGCTGTAACATGTTCTCCTTGATATAACTAACTTCTCTAGGACTCAGGGAATCATTGGTGGAATATTCTGTGCTGTGATGTTTGTTGTTTTACTTTTTGGGATTTATACTTACCATTCTCCATAGCAGTGGTTTTTCAGTGACGTGATGCAGGTCTGTAGTTCACTTGGTCAAATAAGGGAAAACTGTCTAAAGCTGGAAGAGCAATTTTTATGTTTGTTTTTAATCCATTTCGTAGTTAAACCCAAGAGGTGGTTCTGTACTGTCTGTAGTTTGTACTCCCATGCTCCTGCTACTTGTGATTCATGAAAAAGAGGAAAAGGAACACATGCTCCTTAGTGACATCTTTTCAGATATGTCCCACTGTGTTCGCTGACTTCATCCTCCATGTTTTCTAGAAGAAAAAGTACACTTTGTTTTATACTTTGGGAAAAAAAAAATACTTTTTAGTGAAAGAACAAAGGCATATGGTGAAAATGTTCACTTCAGAGTCAGCTGCTCTTCATTTTTTGGCTGTATACAAAGAGGAAGCCAGCAGTAGATAGAAAAGGAGGTCAATTGGTTAGCCTTTCAAGATGAGATCTCTGTTATTTCATTCTGACATGTGTAGCAGTGGAGTCTTACTGTTCTCTCATTTTTATCTGAAGTCACGGGTGCATCAGTGTGAGTAAGTCTGGCCATGAGCTCTAAATTGAACTTAAGTGGTGCTAGTGGTTTGGGAATATGGAAGTATATCAGAAGTTGTTCATTCTTGTATTTTGATTTTATCAAAAGCAGTCACTTGATAGTTATTAATAAAAAATTTCCTCAGTGTAATTTTTCTCGTACTGGAGCATCTCCCTGGGTGTGTTTATTGGTTTGAGGCAGGCAAATGATGAAGTAAAGCTTTGTCATACAGAACATTTTTCAGAAGGACATATGGAATGTCAAATGTTTATCCGTTGCTCTGTGATGACTTCATATCTGTCACTGAATACTCGAGAGCCTGTGAAATGATAAACTTCATGTTTGAATCGCAAAAGGAGTATCAGAATGATCTTAGTTTTGATTTAAGGCAACCTTTGGCATTGCATCTGTGGCCCAGTACAGAAACAGTAGAACTAGTTTGGGTATCAAAAATAATATAGCTGTATTAGCACAGAGCTCTTGTCTGTCCCTGACATGGCTACCCTGTATCTGGTAGAGAAATTCTCTCTCTCTAAATGAGCTTGAAACTAAGCTGTACTGGCTATGCACACCTGCTGTTCCAAACATGGTGCTTATACCACTAACTGTGCCATTTCCTTGCTATCTACTTGATACGAATGGTTTTGAATAGAGACCAAAAATACCAGTGATTGAACTGAAATGCTTGTCAACTCATCTTATTGAAGCTTTTAAAATTATTTATCCACAGGTACTTCAAACGAAAGCATTCCTCAAACTGCCACACAACCAGCCATTTCTCCACCACCAAAGCCTACCATCTCTAGACTTGTTTCCACAATGTATCTTTCAAATCCATCACCAAGAACTTCAGGAAATGTTGCAACAAAAATGCCTAGCCCTGGCACAGCAGTGAAAAGGACATCTTCTCCCCATAAAGAAGTGTCTCCCAAGAAAATGAAAATTGAAGAGGTATTTGAGATTTTGAGATCATACCATAGCAGTGTTCAAAACTTTGAATATTCATTTCAGCTGCAGAGTGCTGATTCTCATATTTTGGGTTTCAAATATTTTGTTAAATGGGGTGTGTATTTCCTATTCTCCCTGCACTGCTGGTTTATGTGTTCAGCTTGCTTAGGTGTGAGTAGTTTATTACTCATCACCTGACACTTGTACTGCATTTGCACAAATGCTTAGGTTCTGAATTCATCTTAAAAACAATGTTGTTGTAGTTGTAATACTTAGCATGTTATACTCTGTCTTCAAAAACACTTTGCAACCTAATTTTCTTGGTTATTTTTTAAAATGTTTTTATGATTTTTAATAGTTTCTGGGTTTGTTTGCATTTCAGCTGGATAAAATGAGTGAAGATACTAGCTGTATAGATTTGAATGAGCACGAAAAAATGGAAACTAAGGTATCTGGCCCTAAACCATATACTTTTTTTTTGTATTAGTCAGGACTCTTTTTTGTGAAAATCACTGTTTCCCCCTAGGAATGGCTGAGTGTTTGTAGATCCAGTACAGACTCTGCAGTAAAGATGTGAAAATGATGTGTTGTTTTTCTTGGCGTGTATGTCAACATTAATAAGTTGCAGTATATAACCCACTGCCAGGCTAAGCTGAGCCTGAGCCCATGGTCACATAGTTCAGTGATTTCTTTGCTGGTTATTCACACAGTATTACGTGTAGCTAGAAGATTAATGATTATATGTAAATTTATTAGGTCAGAGATGTGTCCATATGCCTTGCTTTGCCTGCATCCTGAGGTTGATGCATGTTACTTGGATAAAGAGCGGTTGCCCTGTGTATTCCATTGGGATTTGTCTATGCTGCGATGAGAATCCCAAAGCCAGGTGCTACCTGGTTCACCTTCTAGATGAAAAAATTTCAAATCATGGTAAAGAAATCTTTTCTTACAGTGAAATTACTGTATGAAGTTACAGCATACTTTTAGGGAACTGCCAGAGAGAGTCAAGCATGCTTCTCCAGTGTCTTGTAATTTAGCAGACAATTTTTCTGCTTATTGATGAACAGAAAGGCTGATGGTCTGTCTTCAGCTTTATGATCGTAGCTCTCCACTTGGGTGTATACAGTTTTTATAGGACATGGTCTGTTGTCTTTGGAATACTCTGTAAAATATGCTGAGAAAATATAGACTAAAATGTTGAAGTGCTTTGGTTTATAGTTTCCACACCCTTACGAGTTGTGTGGTGACCTTGAAATGTCCTTGAACTCCAGATGGGTGAAGGCAGAAATGCATATATTTTTTTAATCCTAACACTGAAAATAGATGCTCTGGATACTGATTGTTATAAAAGACATAGGTAATCTTGTTAGCTTTTATTGTCAGTCCCTTTTTACTTCCTTAATATAAAGTAACGAAGGAATTAACTTCTTGGATTAACATACGTATTTTTTTCTCCATTGAAATGCCTTTTTGTTAGGGTATGGTTTACTAAATGGTAGAATTTTATCTAACAGGTTGTGTTCATTAAAATAAGAATGTGCCACTGTCCTGCTTTAGCAGTCCCACTGTTTTACCTGAGAAACTGGCACTGGCATTGACCTGTTCATCCAGAAAGCTGATTCAAACCATTTCAAGTGTCAAGAAATCTTTTAGGCCAAAGGATGGGAAAAGCAGTTGAATTTGCAACAAATTCAGTAGCTTTGCACATGGTCTTCCTTGATACTACACTTACTCCCTTTAATGGGTTGAATGATATGTTTTCCTATAGGATTCTGTGTAAAAGGTGTTAGGTGGTTAAACAAGAGATAACTGAGAAGTGATGTAGCTTGTGTTGATGTCAGATTCCTAATCAGCAAAACATTCCCTAGTGTGGTGATTTCTGTATTAGAAAAGGATGTGTATCCCTGGAGCAAGCACCACCACCTGCCTGTATTCTTCTACTGTATAGTCACAACTTCAGGCATTCTGGTTAATGGCGACCTGATAAACACCGTGTAACTGTGTTGGTGCTTTTTGTTTTTTTCTAGGAACAACCTGAGACAGAAGTGAATGTTAATTCTCAAACAGAAACTCTTCAGACAACTTCTCTGCAAGCTCCTCAGGTACTATTTTTAAAAACACCAACTTTGTGTGTAGTAAAAACATTAAAATGAGTCCAGATGTTAAAAATAAATGTATAATTTTTAAGGTAAATCCATTATATAGAAATCTGCTTCTTGTTACTGTCACAATTTTTGTGTTTTAGATGGTCATTGATCTTATTGAATATGCATTGTAGCTAAACATGTATGGCTTGCCATACAAACTGACTGAAGCTGGACTCGCTCTTCTGAATTGTGCCTTCAAAGTAAGGGGCTCAGTTTATTCCTTTGTGCCTTGCACATCACAGAATAATCCTTTCTAACAAGGACACAAGTGCTTTTAATAGCTGCTGCTCAAAGATATCTTGGTAAAGGTAGAGAATGTGCAAAATGTAACTTCAGATTCTGAGATTTGGTATGAGAGAGAAGTTATAGTCTTATAATTCATTAGCCAGCTGTGTTGCTTCACTTGCAGGTATTAAAACTAAGAAACATTGGGAAAACAGACATTAAGAATTCTGTAACATTTACTTAAAAGTTTTTACAATATTAGGAACAAAAATTTAGGGAACACGGCTTTACTAGCATTTTTAAGATTCTCTTAGTGCTCTACTGATAAGAATATCACTCTTACAAAGCGTCTTATGGACACTTGATTCATTAAATAATGTGTAGTAAATGTATTCATAAAAAAAAATTTAATTGCTATATTATTAATGGTATTTGTTATTGGACTATTTGAAGTATATGAGCAGCACTGAATAAAGGTACCAGAATTGTTTGGCAAAAACTCTGGATGTTACATGGGCACTCCTAACTGCTTCAGAAGAATTTGTAGGTCGTTAACTACTGAGCTTGTATTTCTCCTGATGTCGAGGAATGATTCTATAAAGCTTTGTAGCTATCACAAATTCTGTGGTTGTTACTTGTGCACCTTCCACATTACTTTGCTAAAGAATGGTGGCCTCTTCTGTCACTCCCCAGTATTCTTTTTGGCTTTATTAGAAACACTGCTCATATGGCAGAAAATAGAAACATGGTGAAGTGCAGGTCAGCAGCAAACAGAGTGGGCTGCTGGGGCCGGGGGGAAGGCAGGAGGTTAAAGTCCTTGGCACCGAGTCCTTGTTGCATTGTACTTTGCTACTGTGTCAGCCTGTGGCAACTGGATTGATTTCTCTTTAATAAAATGGCAATGAAGAGCAGTCATTTTAATGTGTTTCTGTGTATTTTTACCCATGTATCAAAAGTATCTTATATTAATTTTGAATGTTTGTAATGTAAGACAATGTTTCATAGTAAATCATGAGAAGTAATGCATGCCAACTATGATGTTGGGATGGCAAATAATGTGCTGCAGTGGAACAAATACTTTCAAAGTTTTTTAAAAAAAAAACAAACTCAACCAACAATAGAGCCTTGTGAAGCATGTGAGAAATTGATGAATCACACTGAATCTTGAGTGTTCCTCTTCTGTGTTTTTATTTGGCTTTAGATATAATTATGCTGAATGAGTCTTAAGTCTTTGAAGTGAGAAAAAAGTGTTGAGCTTATTTTCAAGGTGAAATTCTTAACCCTGTCATGTAGCACTGTTTTAGAGTTCATCGTACCTTTTTCATGTAAATCCAAACCAATTTGGCTATAAAGAGCTTTTCAGAAGTCTGAAATGTGAATGTACAAAGACACATGCTTTGCATTTGGGACAGTTTTTCATCATTCATTTGTAAGAGGCTTGAGGCTTAACACTGAAAGGAATTTTTAAATACGAAGCATGTAGATCAGATAGTAGATATCACAAATCAAATCAATCTTTATTATGTGGATATTTTGTTTTGTTACAGTACAGGTTATTAATAGGCTCAGCTTTAGCTGCAGTACTTCCTAATTTCTTGCAGTTGTTGAAGAAGGAAATGCACACTATGAAAGGGACTTCTGTACGAATTTCCCTTAATAATTATGGAGGTGAAGGAAATATCTGCTTCTAATACTTAGAATTTATAATTATCCTTGTTTTGGTATATTCCTAAAATTTCTTCTAAAGATATTGTTTCTGCAAGTTATTTAAAATTACAATGCTATTTTTCTTTCGATGTTCACAAAGTTAAAATGCAACCAAATTTCTTCTTTTTTTTTCTTTTCAGAAAACACCCAGTACAGATCTTTCAGATATCCCTGCTCTCCCTGCAAATCCTATTCCTGTTATCAAGAATTCAATAAAATTGAGATTGAACCGGTAAAAACAACCTCAGGGGTCCATAAACAGTATCTGCCAACTCAACCTGTTGTCTTCTAATGCTAGGAAAAAAGGAGAACGAAGGGTGCAAGACTAGAACGTAATTGCAAATGGATTTAGGTATATTTTGTGCACTTCCCTTTCTGGGCTAAAATCACCATTTGATTGGAAGTCCAGGTTAGTATGCGAAGCCAGGAGTACAATTAATGTGTTAGCAACAGTTGCATTATATATTGCAAAGGATTACTGCCTTTAAAAACACAAACACTATTTGTAGCCATATTTGACATTCTGATTGAATTTGTTTGATGCGTTGTTTCAAAATTGAGATAAAACTGGCATAACAATCCCTTAAAAATGCACTTTTATGTACTTTTTTTATTGGAGTATTGACTAATTTTAGATATTCAGCTGATACACTTCCGTTTTATTGAAGAATCTCTTCAATTGTAGTAATCTGCAAATTGGGTAAAGTTGTATAATATACTATACATTGAAAAGAAAGTGTATAGTATATCTGGTTCAACTGCCATCAAGCAGCAGTAAGCCTTTAAAATAAAATGTCAAATCTTGAGATTATAAGACATAAGTTGAGGGAGTAATTGGGAAGTTTTGGTATTGGTGGGACATGATTCAGATGTGGTCTACTTTTATTTATAGGATTGTTTTAAGGTGCATACAGATGAGCAATCAAACGGCAAATAAACTTTGCTTTGAGTTAATCAAATTCCTTATTCCTTTTTTTTATCCCTTTTATTTCTTGCGAAAAGCTTTTGCGTTCAGTGTTGGGGGGTTGTTTTGGTTTGGTTTTGTTGTTTTTTGTTTAGCTTGTATGCACCACATAGAAGAACAGTTTCTTTTACAGAGTAAAAGCAAGCCATGCACACCCCCCACACCCCGTGTCCCTTACCTAATCATAATACCTTGTGGCCTGTAGGCACAAATTCAAAATTTTGTCCCAGGACTAAAGTGTTTAAGGAAATATTGTGTGCCTGTGAAATGTAACACCTGTCTTGATGGCCTTTGAGTTACTAAATATAAGATGATTTTTGTACACTCCATAAAAGTCCTGTATGCATTAAAAAGCTTAAAATTTTAAATAAAAGCAAAAAGATTTTTCCCTAAGAATTTTAACCTTTTTATTTTTAGATGGCTCATCAGAAATAGTTTTACATACTGAAGAACTCTGAATTTTTAAAAATCACATTTCTAGTAAGCACTTGACATCTATTAAACTCTCTCACTCCTATTTTTTGTTCTTGTAGTCTTATCCAGAAAGTAACAACTTTTTCTTTTGAGAGAACTGAATCTCTCATGGCAAAGAACAGTATTCGAGGAACATGAGGGATACAAGCAGCAATGCCAGATGTAGATAACAAACTTCATGTTACTATTAAGCCTGAAATATGTGGGATGTCAAGTCATACTTCCCATACTTTGATTAGCATGTTTTATGAACTCCCTTTTCCCGTCGTGCTCCATCCTACTACACGTGCATCTTTCATGTTAAAATTAAATTACTTACACTCTTGCCCTTATCCTTCTAAATTAATTCTCCAAAGTCAGAGTGTAGCTTATCTTTTACTTAGGCTGTGCAGTAACTGAAGGGGTTTTTTTTGCCATTTGTCTAAGATGTCTAGCATACAATATTTCTCTTTTCCTTGCCCTGTGCAGCCTGCTGTTGTCCACCCCCCAAAGAAGGTTATATTAACAGTTGAAGTGTACAAGGTGTCTGTGTATTTTGTGTAGCTATGGAGTTTAGATCGAAATTGCCAGGCACAAATTTAGTCTTGTCATTTTGTTTACACATTGGAAAATCTTTTTCATTTTATTAAACGTTTCATGTAACTGCACCCAAGTTTTGCCAAGCTGGAAACTTGGAACCTTTCTGTATAGTGACTTTTTAATTCTAGTTTTCATAACCTGGAGATCAGACTGTTGCTTTCGCATGATGTACGTAGTGTCTCATGACTGGAGTTTGCTTTGTTTTATAGTATCTGTACTCCTTGTATTTTTCAAGAGCTATTTTGTAAACAGATGATGTATTTCTCCATTGAAAACACAATAAAAAACAGCACAATCCCATAGTTGTCTGATTTTTCTGAATATACAAAACTAATTTTCCTCAATTTGTACTTGGCTCTTAAACATCCTGCTAAGACAAAATACGGTGCGGCCTAAAAGAATGCATAAATTAATGTTCTCTAAAGAAGCATGGTTAGATATAGGAAGTAACAGTCAGCAGGATGTTAAGTTCTAGGCTGTTAAAGGGGAAGGGTTGTGTAGTAGCTTGGTGGGGACAGAATTTATTGCCAAAAAAAAAAAAAAAAAGAAAATAAAGACCATTTTCTGTTTCTTTATTAGAATTCCACCTCAAAATTTAAACTCCTAAAAGCTGACAAAACATGTGTGCAGAAACAATCTGAGGCTGTAACATTTTCTTTAAAAGTATGAAACCATGTTTTTTAAAAAAACATTAGCTGTAATGGTTTTGGCATCTTACACTTGCTTTTCTTGCAAGTGACTGTTTTTTATGTCAGCAGATGGCACTATTTCTCTTCTTGTTGAATAGTCGAAGCTTGCCCTGAAATAAAAGTAAAAATTACAAGAAGCTGTGCATCCCTTGATTGATCTTTGTATCAGCATGAGCCCAATCCTCCAAATGCTTGATGTGAGTAACTTTAATAAGTAGTCTCCTTTTGACTAAAATTTCTTCAACTGCTAAAACCACTGATGATTATGGTTTCCATGTTATAATTACCCTGCCTAAAACAATAAACCTTTATGTTATATATATTTTTCACAGCATGCAATTGCTTGCCTTGTTTAGAACAGATTCATCATCTTTATATCTTGCCCACCCATCTCCCTTTCATCACAGCTGATGTTATTTATGGCTTTAATTCCTCTTTATTTTCTCCGACCAATAAAAATCTGCTAGTAAAAATACAGATTTCTGTTCAGTGTTTCTCCATCTACTGGAAATGGGCTTCAATAGGCTTGTTTTTCCAAGTTTTACCCATCATGAACCTCGAGAAGCAAGGTTACGGTCTTATAAGGATCTGCAAACAAGAAGCTGAAAATCACTGTTGTAGCCAAAATAATTAAGCTATGGTTCTAACAGATGGCTTTAGGCATACTTGAGTCAGACATTTGAGTTGATGAGTTCTAGCTAAAGTGGTGCTACCTTGCTATAGGTAGTATTTGTGCATGCCATTTCTTGGTTTATTTTTTTTAAAACTGCAAAATCTTTAAACATTTAGCTACAAGTATGAAGTAACTGAGTAGTAATGAATATCAACTGATAATAAATGGTACCTTAATGATATGACCAGTTTTAACCAACAAGTGAGTTCTTCAGCTTTTAGAATAACCAAAAATAATTCATTACAGCAAAGCAAGAACACACTACATATGTGTTACTGGGCCAGGAGTTATACTTAAATGCAATTCTGTGGTAGTCACTGAGGAAGCAGAGCATGTTTATTTTCTCCTCATAATACGTATTTTTTGGAAGTTGTGTGCATTTGTACAAAAGGCATTTAGCATTTCGGAATGATCCTGGCACCGTTTACACAGTATATACACAGCAGTCAAGTAGCTTTGCTTTGCTTCATCTCTTGGCATCATTGGGGTTGAACAATACTCAGCAAAAGTTTTGTCACTTAAAAATATGCAAGTCTTGGTAAATACACTCACGAATGTCTGTATACACATATTAGCTAAGTATTTTATAGATGAACTTTTTTAAAGTTAGAATGTTTATACTGGAAAAACATCAATTTTTTTCATTTTCTTTAATAATCTTAGTAAAATTAGAGATCTGTTCAATAGAAACAACCCATCTTGGATTTGTTGATAGAGGCAGATGCAGTTTGATACGTCTACGAATTTCAAACCAATAATTTTCAATATCTGCAAACATCAAACATCTGCTGCCAGCATCACCAAAATAATGCAAACTTTGATATCACATTTCAGAGAGCATGTTTTATTATGTAGAAGTTAATACAATGAACCACTGCTGGATGCCCTATCTGCTTTTTGGATATTTAAGCTAATGGGTTTTTAATAAAGTTTTAGGCATATTTGTATTGTTCTGACTAAATTCTGGAATGCCATCTTTAGGTAACTTTTATTTAATTCCTCCCACACTTAATGAATTAACCAGATCACAGTTCCTCTTAAGCATGTGTGGGTTTTTAAAATGACCTTAGTATTCTTATGACCACCATATTTTAGTGGAATGCTTAAAATAAACTAAGAATGACAATGTCCTACACACTTTATTAAATTTTTACTTTATAAACTTTAAAGATACTGGATTTAGTAAAAGTCAAGATTCTACAGCATATTAATGATTAAAAAAAACCTGTTCAATGGTATATGCAGACATTATCAAGTTTGGTTTTTGCAGTAAATTACTGGTTTTAGTAAGAGCCAGGATCCAGGCAAGTAATAAAAAGCATAAAGAGGAAAATTGTTGGTGATATGAAGTGATAAAAACTCTAACTTGTAGATAAGGAAAGCTGCATTTATTTATTTAGCCTAAGAAAATAGCCAATGCATTTAAACTGCCCCATATTAACCGTGGCCCACACAGATTCTGGACAGTTTACAAGTGCAAATGTGCTAGCTCACATATAAGACAGACAAAAAAAGACATCTACTTTATGAATGCGTCTTGTGTTTGTATTTTTAGAAGTACATTTCTTCAATAAGGCTGCTAAGTGAATATTTTACATGCTGGAAATCTACACATCGATTCAAACTTTTCAGTTCACCGTAGATTATTTCTGTGACATTTGCTTCAGTTGGGGTAATATGCTAACCTAAAGCAGATGAAATTATGAAAGTTGAATGCAGTGTTAGGTCACATACCCTTCATTGTTTGGACAATTCACGTGGTGTTAAAATAAAACTAGAGGCTGGAGTGTGTGTCTGTGTGATCCTTGACTTTTGAGGAATAACTCCCCCACCCCATCCCCCCAACTGTCCCCGATTAGAAGTCTGATTCTAAGTGAACACTGATAAACGTGCGAGTTCTGTGCTCCGGCCTCAGCTTTACTGAAGCCCTGCCCTGCGTGGTGTCTCGTGCTGCCTGCCTTCCAGAGACGTGGCATGCGCACTCGTCCTTGCTTGCCTTCTCAGTCTGCAGCAGAGCTGTTAATAAAGAGATTGATGATGAAGTTGTCGGAAAGAGACAGTTGGACAGGACTGCTCGCCGTGAGTGACAGAGGGCATGCTCTGCCTTCACAGCCAAGAACGCTGCCCCCAGCCGAGAGCTGCCCATGCCTGGGTGCTGTGCCAAGCCTGTTCAGTGTGTGGGGAGAGGAGTCTGCAGCTTATAGGAAGGATTGTTATTACACTTTTAGCTTGGATTCTTAAAGTGAGATTTCCTTTATTTAGGATCATCACAATTTAAAAAAACAAAACAAAACAAAACAAATCTTCACAGTCTCTTGAGAACAAGTTTCAGTGGTGATATAAAGGCTACTGTAGAGAAGTGTTGAAATTTTTTTTTGTGAATGATCTGCTAGGGCTTTTAAAATATTTCATTGTGGTCTGGTTCAATGAAGTGAAAGACATCCCTTGTTCTTAACATTTTTTGCTTTTATGAGGAATAAATACATTATTCATGTACTCAATCTAGATATTAGCTTCTGTAGGAATCTCCCTGCCAAGATGTCATAAACTTGGTTCAGCTCAGTCACATGGTTGAAATAAGAGAAGCCCGGAATGATGGATGGGAGCATTCATTGTCTCAGCCCATTTATCATGTATCATTTTTATC